GGCGCCCTGAGCCCTGCGGGAGGGCCCTTGGAGGAGCTCGGGGCGCCGAGCGGGCGCCTGCCCGGGGGCCTCCTGTGCGCCCCCGGCCAGAGCGAGGACGGCTGCTAGCGGGGTTCGCCACGGAAGGGGGGCAATGACCTGAGTGTCCACCGAGAGGGGAGCAGATGAGTGAACTGGGTGTGTTCATACCAGGAATCCAGGCGGCAATTAAACTGGAGCCGCCTGCGCTGACAGCTACATCCCCAAAGCCCGTCGCGGGCAGGGTTACGGGGCATTTGGTGCCACTTCCCTAACATCTTAAATGCAAAGCGGTGTGTACCTTCAGGCTCAGGCACCTGGCAGAGAGCAGGGCGCAGAGGGATGAGAGATGCCAGCTCCGGGGGTCCTGCTGGGGACAGAGGCCCACAGGACCTAGAGTCAGAAAGAGGGCTCGCTCCACCTGTAGCCTTCCTGTCCTCTGAGGATTTTCATGGGTTCAGGGCTGTCATTAGCATTTATAAAATCAGAGTCCTGCAGGAGATGCACAGGTACCTGTTCTAGCATTTTCTGCACTTTTGTACATTGAAAATTTTTTATTGAGGAAGTCTGGGGTGGAGGGAGAAGGGCCGAGTCACCCAGGAGAGAATTCCTTAGGCGGGGTCACCTGGAGATGGGGGCTGGGCGGGTGGAAGCACCCTGGACTGGGTGTCTGATATTATCAGGTGGAGAAGGGCAGGGCGGGGGTGTCCCCCAGCTTCGGGCGGGGGCAGCCAGGTGGATGGGGGACAGGGACCGGATAGAGGGGCTGGGAAGAAATTCAGGACATAAGTTTGGAGCCTGTTGAATCCCAGGCACAGTGAGTCATCGGAATAGAGCTGTCAGGGGCGGCTGACCCCTGAGCTGTGCCCCAGGCTGGGGGGCCGCTGGCTGTCAGCAAGGATTCCAGCCAGGAGGGCATGGCCCCGGGAAAGGGACAGGGCGAAAGGCCAGCCGGCCAGGTCCCCGCACTGCAGGGGAGGAGGCTCTGTGCCTCGAAACAGCCAGATTCTGTAAGGCAAACAGAGGGCAATGTTTGCGACAAATAAAAAGACAAAGGGGCAGTATTTTCAGCACATACAGTGTGCTTGCAATGAGTAAACAAAAAGCAGCGCCCGGCTGGCGTGGCTCGGCGATTGAGCGTCGGCCTAGGATCCAGGCGATTGGGGTTCGTTTCCCGGTCAGGGCACATGCCCGGGTTGCTTGTTCGATCAATGACTCTCTCATCATTGATGTTTCTCTCTCCCTCTCCCTCTCCCTTCCTCTCTCTGAAACCAATAAAGATATATTTAAAAAAAAAAGCACCAAGACCTTGCTCACCAAGCAGGTAAAATGCTTGCAGACAGGTCACCAAAGACTCAAATGTGCCAACAAACACGTGGGGAAAATGCTCATGGAAGCTGCGGACGTTTCAGCTGCCCTCCTGTCAAACGGCTGCGTGGCCCTGCCCGCGGTGGTTTGGGGTTTTGTTTCTAACACATTCTTGCCGGTGGGGAGGTGGCAGAGTGCAGGGTATATGTTTGCATGTCTTTTTGGAAAGCAATTTGGCAACAGGCTTCAGAGGCCTTAAAATATCAGTTTCTTTGCTTGCCTCTGGTAATTCCACTTCGAGTAAATCCTGAAAGGGTGAAAAAGCTTTTTGACAACGATATTTATATTTGTAATAGCAATAAATAAATAATGTTCAGTAAGTAATTTGTAGCTCTCCAGTGTGAAAACTATGACGTAGCTCTAACAGATGATGTTTACAAAGTTTGTAATAAGATGATGGAACGCTCGTGTTATCATTTAAAAAACAGAATTTTTAAATCATATCCGGAGAATGACCTCGCCCATACATCTGCAATCCAACAATAACAATGAACCTTACATATTGAGAGCATATCTGAAGACATACACCAAGACAGTAAAGGGTTGATTTTTCTGGTCATTTTTCTGCACTGCTGTCTTTTCTATAATGGGTATTATTTCTTTAATAATGGAATACACATGCACATTATTTTCCAAAGAAGAAATTCATGTTAGGACTGTCCACTCACCACGTGGGCCTGCGTAGGTCGCCGCGAGGTGCAGTACAACTCCCCTGGTCGTGAGAGGAGCCCGGGCCAGGAGAGCCTGGGGCCGTGGCCATCCTGTGGTTTTTTCCTGCTGCTCTGTGTTTGGGTTCAGCTTCAGTGGCATTTTTATATCCCCCCGGGAAAGCAGTAGCGTTGTATTCTTTATCGCGTTTCCTGGAGAGCCCATTCGAGTGAGAAAATGGGAGATGAACTCGGAGCAACATCGCAGGTGGGCCAGCGCCAGGCTCTCAGCTGGACTCTGCGCACGGCAACCACAAGCCACACGTGGCTGTCCACGTTTACAATTCAATTAAGTGACATTTAAAGTTCAGTGCCTCAGTCACACGAGCCACACTTCGAGTGCTCGTGGCCACATAAGTGCAGTGCCCTCTCTCTTGGACAGAGTAGAATATTTCCATCCTCACAGAAACTTCGACTGGTCAGCGCTGGCGCAGAAAATTACCTGGCATTTTTCATCCACAAAGATGGCTCAACATTAAAAAATTATAAAAGAAATGCACATTAACAGATTAAAGGGGGAAATGTAATCATCTCAATAGGCCCTAGTACACAAATTAGTCAGAGAATTAAAGATTGATTCATACGAAAATCAATACACCAGCGATAGGCTATGGGAAAGTGTAGAGAAAAAAGAACCAATTTATAATAACAATAAAAATCTACAAGGGACCCAGGAGTAATTGCAATAATATGTGCACTCATCTCTCTGTAGAGAAAATCACAAATTATTATTACAGGATAATATGTTCCCAGCTGGAATGGTTCAATATTATAAAGATGTCAGTTCTCCACAAATTAATCTATAAGCTCAAAACAATTCTAATAAAATTTCCCGTTAGGTTTTTTGGTAGGACTTGACAAACTGATCCTAACATTTACCCAGATCAATTAAGGACCCAGTGTAACTAAGATATTCCTAAAAAATAAATAAATAAAAGGAGAGAAGAGACTTGCCCCACCACTCACTCATTCACACATTTGACAAATATTATTGAGCAACTACTATGTGCTCTAGCTTTCGGTGCTGGGAATATAGCAGTTAACAAAACGGCCAGCAATCCCCACCCTCACAGGGCTTAGTAACATTCCAAGTAGCAAGACTCGCTCTAAAGCTGTGATGACTGAGACGCTGTGGCATTAGCACAGGCACAGATGACCAGAGTGGAAGCCTAGAAACAGAAACATGACATGAGATGGTGTTTAACAGAGGAACGGGATGTCTCCATGGAGAAAAAAATCTCTCACCGCACACAAAAAGCAGTTATAAGTGTATTGAAGATCTAAAGTGAAATGTAAAACTTTTAAGAGAAAAATATAGAAGAATATCTTTGTGACATTGAGACAAGAAAATATTTCCTATAAGACATAAAATCACAAACCATTAAGAAATTGTTGATTACTTGACTACATAAAAATGTACAACTTCTGTTCAACAGAAGTCCCTAGAGTTTAAATAAACCACAGACTGGAAGAAGATATTTCCAAGGCATGTAACTGAAAAAAAATATATTATCCAGTATAGGTAAGTGACAACTACAAATCAATAAGAAAAAGACAATGCATTAGAAGATGAGGAAATGATATAAATAGATAATTCAGAGGACACTCAGAAAGCCAATAAACACCAAAAGAAATTAGGAAACTGCAAATTAAAACAATCAAATTACACAAATCAGTTTGGCAAGGGAAAGAACAAAATTAAAGGAGAGGACAATGGAAATACGTCAATAATGTGACCAGAGAAGCCTACAAACCACTGGCAAAATGTGCGACTTGAAATGTACGTTGAAATTTCACTCTTAGGTAAAGAGAGAAAGTCTCTTGCAGAGACCTGTGTACGAAGCGTCATCACACAGAAAGCAGATTAGTAGTTGGCTGAGCTGAGCTGAGCTGAGCTGGGAATTCACTGTAAATGGGCACCAGGCCTTACTGAAGTGACAGCAATGATTGGAGCCTGACTCGGTAATGGTTATACAACTTGGTACGTTCACTGAAAATCATTGAATTGTATATGAAAAGGGTGAATTATACATATGCTATGTAAGTTAGAACTAAAGTTTTAAATTGCCCTGGCCGGTCTGGCTCCGTGGATAGAGTGCCAGCCTGCGGACTGCGGGGTCCCAGGCTCGGTCCCGGCCCTGGTCAGGGCAGGTGCAGGGGGCAGCCAGTCGATGTGTCCCTCTCACATTGATGCTTCTTCCCCCCCCTTCTGCTCTCTCTGAAAAGCAATGGAAAAAATATCAAGTGAAGATTAAAAAAAATAAGTTTTAAAATGGTTTTTGCAGCCTTATCTGCAACAATAAAAAAATTAGAAACAGTAAAAATAATTTTATAAATTGGTTGTTGCAGAAATGCAATTCAGTACAATACGGTGGTTCAAATAAATAAACCAGAGCTACTTACATCAGCACGAGTAAACCTCCGAAATGAACAATAACAGCTAAGGTAGCAAAAGCAACCTGCAAAATAATGCGTACAATGTAAATGGCAACATTTACATAAGATTTAAAAACATACGGAACGATGCTATATACTGTTTATTAATATAAATATAGTGATGGAGTACAAATACACACAGCGATTGTCTCTGGAGAGCAAGGAATGGAGATGAACTGTTCCTGCAATGTTTCATTTCTTTAAAACAAAACACTGACGCAAACGTGGCAAGTTGTTAAAATTCAACTCAAGTGTTTGTTATAATATTCTCTGTAATTTTCTGTATGTTCAAAGTAGAATTTGAAAATACAACATCAAAATATTTTTATTTGCCTTTCCAGTCACTCCTGATACCTATAGCTTTTACATCTTCCATCACAAAGAGCTGGAACTGCCAGAGTGCAAGTATAGGTGAGTTTTACCTATATTTTATAATCATCTTCAACTGGTTACGGTTACTAGACTCAGGCTGAGCATTGCTAGACTGTTGGGAACCCCACAATGACACAGAAAGCCAAGGGCGGCTGCACTTGGAGAGCTGTCAGCTGCCTGGAGCCCCGGTCCGCACATGTCGTGTGCAACAGTGACACCTAATGGTCAGCGCTGGTACTTACACGGCTCCTGGGTCTGAAGGGCTGGGAAGCCGGGTGGCGGGTTCCTCCCGCAGCTCTTACGGGAAAGAACAAGGGCTCTGGACTGGAGGGGTTACAGCTGATGAGCTCCCTTCTCAGTTTAGCTGCATCAGACGAACGCCCCCCAGAAGACCTAAATTAATTCTGAGAATTCCAGGAGTTAAGTGAGCCTAGCTTTGCTGCGTCCTGAACGTTTCTCCTGGCATCGAACCCTCCAGAGCTAACTATTCAGGGAACACATTTTCCATGGAGGCTTTTTTTTTCCTTCTAAAGAGCTTTACTAAGATATAACTGACCTACTATAAACTGCACCTATTTAAAATGTACAACTGATGAGTTTTGACATCTGCATACACCCATGAAACCACCGCTACGATCGGGAAGATGACACATGTATCACCCCAAGCTTCCTCGTGCCCCTTGGAAAGCCCCTCCTGCCCCTCCCCCCTTCCTTGTCCCCAGGTAGCCTTTCATCTGCTTCCTGGCGCTAGGGGCCAGCTCACATTCTCCGGAGTTTTATATAAATGGAATCACACTGTGCGCGCTCTTGGTGGACTGGCTTCTTTCGCTCAGCATCATTATTTTCAGACTCACTCACGTTGCATATACCAGCAGCCCCTTCCTTCCTATTGCAGGCCCTGGCTGTGCTCAGACTCTGGGAAGAGCTAACCTATCAGAACCAATATTAATAATTCATCTGTCTCTGCCTCAGGCCCCCCAGCAAGAGAGGAGCCAGAGCCAGAGAGAAGACGAGGAGGAGGCTGGGCTGCAGGCAGCAGTCAATGGGACAGGCCCTGGGAAATCCCTGGGGGCTTCTCAAAGTGTTACAAGCCAGAGAATGAGAGTGACGTGCTGCAGGGCATCC